TTTTTTTTGAGACAAAATTTCTCTCTTTTGCCTGGAATTTGCTAATTTGCTTAGGATGGGTGCCCTAACCTGCACAGTGCATACACTCTTTCCCCACTGCCCCCTGCTGTGTGTGGTGTGAGTTTGTGTGTGTGTGTGTGGAAGGGTGATGAGAGATTAACCTTGGCTAGAATTCCTCAGGAGCTGTCCAGTTCATTTTTTTGGGACAAGGTCTCTCACTGGCCTGGCCTCCACTGTCAGTTAGGTTGGCTGGCCAGTGAGCCTGTGTCTTTATTTGGGTTATGAAGATAGGACCAGAGCCTCAGCATTCTTTCTTGATGTATGGTGGCTTTGAGCCTTTGATCCTGGGTATCTAATTAATTCCTACATAGATTTGAGGATAACATATGTATGCATTTGGTTGTCTTTTCATTTATAATATGCCAAGGGCATCACTTTCCTCCTGTTTCCCAATTTTGAAGGATTCTCCAATGGTTTCTCTTACTGCTGTGTCAGCATGGCCAGCCCTTTCCCAATGAGGAACATTTCTGTTGCTTTGTATTTTTCTGTCATATTTTGAAACACCAGAAGCCCAATGAAGCAGAATCTTCTATTCCCAGGGGCTGACTGTAATAGAATTTGACTTCTGCTCATTTCTTTCCTCAAGGAGTGTTGGAAGAAATTGTTTTGACAGGCCTGGGGATGTGGATCAGTTGGTAGGGTACTTGCCCAGTATGCATGAATCTCTGGACTTTGTATATAGTACTTTGTAAACTGGGCATCATCACACATACTTGTAGCCCCAGCATTTAGGAGGTGGAGGCAGGGGGATCAGAAGTTCAAGGTCATCCTCAGCTACATAATAAGTTTTAGGTCAAGGGATATATGAGATTTGGGAGGAGGGAGAGGGGATAAGGGGAGGGAAGAGAGGGAAATAATTACTGTGGGAGGATGGTAGACAATTGTGAAATTAGGAATGAGACCATGAGGTAAAAATATATTCAGGAGAATGCTGTTTTAGAAACCCAGGCTGTTTAGATTTTGTTTGCTGGGCTCATAAATGGGGCATAGGTTTATAATGCTAATGTACATGTTCATGTGTGTATATGTGTGTGCATTTAAGTATGTGGTGTACATGTGTGTCCCATGGAGATCAAAGGTCAACCTTGGATATCTACCTTAATTGCTCTCCATTTTATTTTTACTGGTCTGGAGGTTATTGACTTCTTTAGTCAGTCTAGCTGGGCAGCAAGCTCCAGGGGTCTTCTGTAGGTGCTTCTCAAGCACTGGCATAAGTCATCCACGTGCCAAGCTTTATATGCATTCTGGGATCTAAAATAGGTCCCATATTGATATTTCAATAATACTTTCCATTCCCAGTGTTTGGTGCTTGTGAGGGCTGGTTCTTTGCTTGTCATTTGGTCAGTGACCAGTGGCTGAGCCCTTCTTCTTGCCACAATAGGAAGACTAATGGGCCAGGAAGAAGTCCAGGCTGGGGGAACCAGGAATAGCCAGGTGACAGCCAGAAGGGCTCCAGAGATGAAGATGGGCCATTGTGAAGGCTGGCTAAGCTTTCTGTTTTTAGGTCTCAGTTTTTCCATTTGTACAAGGACATGTTGGGGAGCCTGCGGAGTACTTTCTGAATCCCACCATCCCTGGGACCCTGTCCCAGCTACCTTTGCTCCTCTGCCTGCTGTGAGTGTTCCACAGGGCTCATGCCCTGGTTCCCGTCCATGTGGTGGACACATCTAAGCCCCCAGGAGCACTTACTTCTGTTCAGCTTCACTTACAGCTCCTGAAAAACTTCCAGGGTACCAGAGTGGCCTGGAACTGGCCACACCCCCTGGTATGGCTTTGGGTAGAGGATACCAGCATACTTCACAAATATATACAGTTGGATCTTCCTATTTGCAGTTCTGCATTGTAGGACTGACAACATTCAGGGACATTTTTCATCTGCACTGAATATCTGCATTGAACTCCTTTTTTTTCTTGTCCTTAGTCTCTAAACAATACAGTAAACAGCTATTTATATAATATTTGCATGTATTAGACATTATGAATCATAAGAAATGATTTAAAGTATGTGGGGGAACAGGTGTCGGTTACATGCAAATACTCTGCCATGTTTGTATGTGTGCATAATCGTGTGTGTGTGTGTGTGTGTCCACTTAAAGGCCAGAGTACAACCTGAGCTGTCATTTTGACACAGGATCTCTGATTGGCCTGGAACTTCCCAAGTACAGTAGTCTGGTTAGACAGCAAGCCTCAAATAACTGCCTGTTTCTACTTCCCCAGGGTCTTTGCATAAAAGACTTGAGTATCCTGAATTTTGGTACTCATAGAGGTCATAGCAAGTCCCTCCTCATCTAGTGATGTAAGGTGTCATAGGACAACCTTATTTATCTTCATGAATACTTAATGACCCTTAATCATTTTCCTACTACAGGATTAGGCAATCCTCCCCTCCCCCACCCATTGGTGGAAAGACTAGGAGGCAGTTGGCATCTTGGTTGTTTCATTTGTAAAATGCTAATAAGTTGTAGCCTCTCCCTCATTGGATTGCTAGAGACTGGGAGGAATAATGCTTACCAAATCACTCAGCTCAGTGCCAGACACACATTAAGTATGTAGTTAAGGTTAGGTGATCGTTAGGATGATAGTTAAAGGCCAAACTGTGCTTAGTCGGCATGGGGCTAGGCAAAGAGAAAGGGACAGACAGAAGTGCCATAAGGTGTAGGAGGAGGCGGATGCTGGACTGCCAGCAGGAGGGGAATCCCTGGAAGGGCACTTTCCCAGCCTGTGGGGACTCTGGGATTCCAGGGCCACGCACGCCGTCTATCACCGTACATAGTCTTTGATTTTTAGAAAGCACCCAATTCCTTCACCTGGTTATCTTTCTGGAGTTGCAGGAGGTATCTGCTTCGGAGGAGGACTTACGCCTGAGGGTATCGGTGGCGCTGAATTGCGGACAGCGTAGGTAGTTCCCATCCCCAGGCGGAGTCGCTAGCACGTCCCGGGAGTCCCTGACCCGCAGCCCCCAGTGCCCGCCCTCCAGGATCCCTCCTCCTGGGCGGTGAGAGCCAGATCCCAGAATGGCCCTTTAAAAGGCAGTGTCGTGTCCGGAGGGGGCGGGCAGGGGGCCGCTGACCCGCCCGCGGCTGGTCCCTTCTCCCCGCCCCCTCCCTCCTCCTTTGGCTCCCTCCCTCCCTGGATCCCCGCGTTGCTCACTCGCTCTCCCCGCGCACGCTCCGTCTCCGTCAGTCCCCTGAGCTGTTCTAGTGCGCGGCGTGGAGCCAGGGCTCAGGCTGGTGGAGCGGCCGGAGCTGGAGGCTGGGAGTGCGGCGCGCACGGCCTCCCCGCGCCATTATCCGCGCTCGCTACGGGCGAGGCCGGCGCCAGGATGGCAGAGATGGGGAGCAAGGGGGTGACGGCGGGGAAGATCGCCAGCAACGTACAGAAGAAACTGACCCGAGCTCAGGAGAAGGTGAGTGAACGGTAAACCTGCCACACCTCTCACCCCTATCCCTGGGATCTAGCTGGTCACTTCCGGATGATCACCGCCAAGGAGTCCCCGGGTTTGGTCTCCTTGCAGTTAAGGTGCCCCCCTTCTCCCTACCTGGGCTCCGGCAGGGGAGAGCGCAGCTGTCCACCTTGTACCCCCCTCCCCCATCGTTTTGTACCTTCGTGGCTCCTCTGCAGAGAAGTGGAGGCCCACGCTCCGGTTTGATCCTCGGACGCGGGGTCCACTCTCACCCTACCGTGGAGTCCAAGGGTCAGGAGGCTGGGAGGTGACCCCCAGCCCTCCAGACCCAGGAGTGCAATCCAGGCGGGGCTTGTATGGGGGGAGGGAGCCTATCTCACCGCCCCTGGGGCTGAAAGCGTCCCAGACTTCTAAGGCTATACTTTCTTTCCCAGCTGGCTAGTGCGTACGCCCACTGCCCTCTTTTTCCTACTGCCTCTCTACCTTAGTCCCTGAAGGGCGGGGGTGGGATCGCTTTCCTTTTTCCAAGAGGTGCCTGCGGCCTAGAAGGTCCCGCCCAGACCCGCCGGGTAGAAGATTCCGCACCCCTCGCCCTAACAGGGCTTTGGCGGTTCCAGCCGCTGGAGAGAGTGGTGGTGGGTGCTCAAGGCTATCCGGTGGCTAAGAGAGGGGTGTGGAGAGTGCCACAGGAAACCCTATTCTTGTTATTTGAGAGTATTCTGGGGTTTTTGCAGGGGAAAGGATCAGAGCTTCCTGGGACACCCTGACTGTGCAGGAAATGCAGGGATTGGGGGCGGGGGTCCTTCGCTGGCCTGCCTTTTACCCCGCGCCGTCCCTGGCTTATTGAATTGGATCACGCCAGCTGCTGACGCCACTTCCCCTGCCAATTCCGACTATGAAACCTGAGATTGTACAATCTGTGCTTCTGCCAGGGATAGCCCCTCATGGCTCTATCTGGGCCGGGGCCTGGTGGGGACAGGGACAGGCTTGCCTTTTTCTGCCTGTCTTGGGCTGTTTATAAACAATGACTTTTGCAGCTGAGAGCTGTGAGCTCCCCAAGGATGCAGCCACGTGATGGGGGGTGGGTAGATCTTCCTTAGAGCCTTACTCCTTATCCTTGTGGTTACTAGCTAAGAAGCGGGTTACTGTGCCTGGGGAGGCTCTTGTAAATCCCCTGATCTGGCCGGCGCTCCTTTTCACTTCCAGGAGGAAAGCGAAGAGAGAGGGATTAGGACCCTTTCTGTAGTCGGCCGGTGGCTAAGGAGACCTGGGTGACCTGGCTGGAACAGTAGGCAGATACAGCCACCCTGACTCCCAGTGACCTAGTAATTCTAAGGTGCCTGGAGCCTGCTTCCTACTCCTAAAGGAAATGAATGGAAATATTGAGAGTAAGCTGAGACAAGTTCTCCACCCCTCACCCTACGAAGACCAACTTCGTTATGTCTGTTCACTACAGCCAGCGCTCACCTCTTTCCAGATACATTTGTTTGTTTGTTTTGCAGTAGCCTCCTTGATGCAACTCTGGGAGCCACAAGCGTAGGCTATGTCCCTTTCTTGTAGATGGGGCAGCATCCCTGGGCCACTGAGTGGCCATCTCTCTTCTCAGTGCCTGCTCAGAGGTTTTGGGCAGTTGGCTGACAGCTGGTTGGCTATGGACCATGGCTATGGCTGACAGCTGGTCTTGGCTGAGCCTGGGCTTCATAGACCTGCACTTGTCTTCTGCCACAGTTGCTCTCTGCCCCGTGGGCATTAGTTAGGGACCATTTGCCCAGGGAAGCCAAGACAGTCGACAGGCATCCTGAGACAGCAGCCTGCTTTCCATCCTCTCCCTCCTGCTACAGGCCCTGCTTCAGAAAGCCCGGTGCCTTACCTAGATGCTGTCCTCTTCTGTTTGTCTTTCTGCCACTTGGAATCTATATTTGTCACAGCTTGGGTATACTGATTGGGCTGATTCCTTAGTATCTTCTAGTGGTGGCTCGTATCCTATTCAATGCCCACTGCTAATGGGATCTCAGTCCCAGTGTCTTACAAGCAGTCTTGACACTGGGCCTACCTTCCTTGGCCAAATAAACCAGCCATAGGGCACTTCTAATCTTTTTATTTTTATTGTGATAGAAGGGCATTTTCTGAGCAAGAATAAGATCTGCCATGGTGGAAAACAAGAGAAAGTTGGGGAGATAGCTCAGCTGGAAAAGTGCTTGCTACACAAGTATGAAGATCTGAGCTCTGTCCCCCAGAACCCATCTGTGAAGCTGGGAGCAGAAGTGTTGTGAGCTTGTGATCCCAGCTCTGGGATCAATGAGAGACCATGGACGCTGGCCTTTACACACATGTGCATACAGGAAACAATAAAAAGAAAGTCTGCAGTGTGTATGCATAGGAAGAAGGCCCTATTCCCTCCGGTTTTTTTCTTCCCAACTTCTCAGCCCTGACAGTCATGGAGACTCAGTGACAAGAAAGGCCAGTGTGCCCTTGGTGTCATGGGGTCCTGTGTGGGTCATAGAGCCGCCTTTCCACTGTCTTCCCTAATGGGCCTTGGGATGCTACCTTTGATTCACCTGCATCCTTCGCTGCCCTGGGCAAATATGTGCTTGTACCCCTCTTTTGTCTGTCTGGCTCTGGTGGGTGTTTAGTGGATGCTTATGTATGAATGTGGGTATTTGGGTGCTTGATCTTGAAGCCCTGGCTGGCCTAGAGTTAACCTGGGAGTTAGCTGGTTGTGTTCTCTTCTACTTTCTGGTTGCACAAATGCCAGGTGCCTTGTCCTAGGTTGAGTCCCTGCATGCTGCTTCAGGCAGAAAGCATGTTGTTCAGGCCTACGTGGTACTTATTCCCATACTGTTGCTGTGTGCCCGCGGTGAGCGAGTGTGCCTGGAGCCTAGGACCATGGACTTCATGAGGTCATCTTCCCATTGCATTTGGCTTAGCTGACCCTCTATAAATGACTGTGTCCATTTTTGGGCCTCAGAAGGGTGGCCGGGCAAAGCCAGTTTAGGGTGGAGGCTGGGTCAGATGACAAGAGGATTAAAGGTTGGCTAGCTGGGCCCTTGGGGGATGGGGTGGTTAGGGAAAAGGACAGCTGGGGTGGGGGTGTGGAATCTTGCCCGCCCTAGTCCATGGCCTAGGAGTCCTCAGGGGAGAGTGCATGAGGGAGGCTGGGCTTTGCTCTCACAGTGTTGGGCCAGTGGTTGAACATAGGTCTTGGGTTATGGTGGGACTATACAAAGAGGGAATGTTTCCTTGAAGGCTGTGGCCGATCCTGGGCATGATTGGGGGGGGTGTGCAAAGGAGAGTGTTTGGAACACCAGTGGGAGTGGGAAGTCAGGGGCTGTCAGTACACAGCACATCTCTGGCATGTGGAGCAGATGTTCAGCAGAGGAAGGGGCAGCCATGGTTATTTATAGGACCTTGACCCGTGGAGGTAAACTGCGCCATTATTCCTTGCTTTGTTATGCCACCCTGCCACATGGCGGCGGTGAACTGCACTGTGTTCCTCTGCATGGTCAAGGTCTTCCCATGTGGGAGGCACATCAGACTTAGTATGAGCTGGGTTTGAACATAAAGCTTCTGGTAGTAACCCCAAGAGTAGCTTGGCTACCTGGGGGAGCATTTGTATGTCCCCTTTAACAGAATGGGCTTTTGCTGCATAGAGCTGACTGCCTGCTGGAACCACAAAGCCTTTGCAACTGAGCCACTGGTTTTACTCACCCAAGCGTCTCTCCAGTCTGGGGACTGTCGTCCTTCATGAAAGGCATCTTCCACATCCCCTTTCTATCTCTGGGTTTCCCTGTACCCTGGAGAGCCTAGGGCCCTCTCTCAGGCTGGACCATCTCTTTTCCTCTCTTTCTGAAAGTCTCTGCACTGGGCCTCTCTCCTTGAGCTTGGACAGGCTCTGCTGAACCTTCCAGCCTAGGTCAGATTTCCTGAAAATTCTTTACGTAAACAGATTCTATTCCCTGCAAGATCCCGCATCCTCTATGGGGTGTTGGGTACCTGGGAAAGGGGTCAGGGGAGATGCTCTGGAGACACTGGGCTCAGGAAGGTGTAGGAGAGCTGTAAGCATGTCCATAGGGTATTCCTGACACCCACCCCCACCTCCCGAGGCCTGGTAGCCTCAGTACTATATTGGCTGTGGCAGGTGGAAGCCAGGCTATTGCTGTTATATTGGGGGGTGGTAGATAAGGGAGACCCTGCTGGATGCCTAGGGTATAGGTATAGTGTGAGGTACTAAGGCCAGTGAGGATGGTGGGAATTTCAGTTCTATGAGAAGGAAGGTGTGGCCTCAGGGAAGGTGAAAGACTCAGGCCAGATTTAATTAAGTGTTGCATGCTGGGGTGGGAATCTATACACCCCAGAGAGTCTCCCAGCAGCGGGGTCAGAGCCACTTCCTACCACATCCTCACAGTTCATCCTCTGAGGTTCCTTTGTGGCCTTCCTGCTCTGGCGTCTGCCCTGAGTGGCCTTGGGTCCATTCTTCCCCAGGTCGTGAGGCTGGGACAATACCGAGAAAGCTTCAGTCCTCCACTGCTGCATGTCAGGGATGTGCCCCATGTAGCTGGTCCCCCGAGGTAGATTTTCTATCCTGTATATCACCCTGGGTGGTAGCTGAGAGCACAGGGCCTGTAGGTCCCCCTGATGACTGCAGGACCTTAGTCAGGTGGCAGGTCCTTCCAGACCCACCCACTGCCCGGCTATGGTTAAACTGGAGATAACAATAGTTCTCTTCACAGGCACAGTTGTGAAAACGAGAAAACCTTTGACAGATGCATGTTATATAGCACATGATTACTACATATCAGCTATGTAAGTAGACTGACATCACAGAACCTTCCTGGGAACCCTCTTTCTCTGCAAGGCCCCACTACTCAATCTCTCCCTGGGAGTGTTCATGATAGGCCTCTGTAGACAGCTAATCCCTGCTGAGCCGTTAGCTGGTTAGGGCTTAGGATAACAGTGTGTGTGTATGCATGTGTGTGTGTGTGTGTGTGTGTGTGTGTGTGTGT